GCAGATTATTATTACAAAATCTCAAAATTTAATTGGTTGGCCCATTACACCGTTTTGCTGTGTGGGACCCCATATATGGTTTATTTTTCCACTTTTTCAATATGAATTTCGTTGAAAATTATTATTACATAGTTCGATAAACATAAGAATTTCTATCCATCACCTTTCGCTTTCTCACTATTGGCTTGTATATAATTTATTGATTTTGTTTCCTAATTTTATCAATTTGATTTGAAAACTTATAATTACAATAAGATCCATTAGTGCACCTTCTTCAGTATTAACCATAAGTTATAAATTACTCTTTAAAACATTCAGGTATTCATATTCTGCTCTTGAAGTCAAGTACTCAATACAAGTTTTTTTTTTTTTATATTTCAAATTTGTTTTAGGGTAAACCAGTGTAAGAGATCTATAAAATTTTTTTTGTTCTTTGAGAACATAAATTTATAATTTACGTTCTAATAAATTTTTTGGTGTTTTTAATAGTAAAATTTTTAAATAATAACTATATAATATTTTTATATAAACTAAAATATAATATAATATATATAGGTTCCTGATTTTTCCACACCCATTATTGACCCATATACAAACATGTTTTTTTTTAACTTTGATCGAAAGTAACTCTACACCCACACAACCAAACTTGATGCAATTTTTATTTGAATTCTCTGGAACTTTAGAATTTAAATAAAAAAACTTTATCGAATTTGATCGTGTGAGTATTAGTGCTCCGAACGGATCGGGTTAGAGCTTCAACCCGAACTAGGGATGGATCGGTCCTAGAAAGACCGAATTAAGGATCGGTTTTTAACTGGTCTCACAATTAACCGGTCCCCAGTCCTGAGACCGGTCTAAATGTAGGTCTGAACTTTATTTATTTTTATTATCTATTTCGCGTTCTTTTACATTAAAAATAATAAAAAAATCCATTTAAATTTATATAGGAAAATAAATCGTAACCAGCTTATGCACTAAGTAAAAAAAAAAAAAAAAAAACTAATATAAGGCGGGTCTACTTGACGTTTTAACTAAATTCAAGAAGAACCATCCTAAGAAAAAAAAGAAGAAAAAAAAAGAAGAAAAAAAAAGAGTAAAAATTAAGAAAAAATAATAATTATTAGCTTAGGAAAAAAATGAAAAAAAATGAAAAAAAGCCCTCTTTCCTATTTTTCCGACGTTCAATTTTCCCGACGTCCCATTTTTTCGATGTCCCATTTTTTTCGACGTCTCATTTTTTTTTATCTTATTTTTTTATATCAATAGTTGAAAAAATGTAATATACCACAAAGGCACTCAATTATTATATTATATATTAGAGATGTGATTTGTTATCCATTTTCCTATTTAAAATTTTGCAGATATTCGGATTCTTTATAATAATTTTATTATAAAATTAAATTAGCAGATATCTGGATCGCATCTCTATTATATATAAATAAATAAGCACTATAGTTATAATTACTTTTGTTTAAATACTATATATATGAAAGATAATATTCAAACTAGCATAATTTTCATGATTAATTAGCCTTATGATATGAATAAAACCATCTTTATGTTTATTAGCAAAATAATAAATGAGCATTCACTGTCTTTGTTTGTAGATGAGTAAGATAAAAATGTTTTAACATAATAACTCACTAGAGCTAAGCAAACACTTCTCAAATCAGTAAATGTCATTTCAAGTTTTAGTGTCATGGTTTGTTACATTCTATTAATACATTTATCAATAATTACATTTCTTATGCGCCTAATAATGTAAACTTATTAATGTTAATAATAATCAAGCCACAGACTTGAATAAGTTTCGTGTATTGCACTTTTATTTTAGGCCTCTATATGTAATATTTTTCAAAATCAAGCCCTTATATGTAATTCTTTTAATTTGGGCCTTTATCCATAATTATTTATAAATTCTCCTAAAAAAAATCTTTTAGTTAATTTTATTAGATATTTCTGAAATTATGAAATTTTGAGATCATGTATTTATATTAGAATAAATAATATAAATGTATAAATAAAGTATAATAATTTTCAATAAAAAAATAATGTCATACTATTTTTTATACAAAAATTAAATTATGGTTTGATTTTTTTTCTTTATTTTTCATGATAAAGCTATAATTAAATTGTCATACAATATTACTATTAAAAGTGTTATTATTTTATCCAAAAAATTAAGATTATTTTTTTCTAAACTTCATCTCTTTTAGATCGTAGCAAATAGTTATATATCCTTTTTATAATGTCTACAAATAACCAATTTCTTACCTTTACTCAAGAAGAAGACAATATAAGTTATGATTCTTCAAATACTATAACTGATCAGGAGGATAATAATGAAATTCATGAAAGTGATTCTGAAATAAGTACTTATTTGGATAATTATATAAATTCACAGTTTCAAAAAAAAAAAAAAGAACTCTCAACTGTGTGGACCTATTTTAAAAAAATTGTCTGAAAAATGAAAGTGTAAAGTATGCCCATCAAAATTTGAAAAGAATACTAGTACCTCAACATTAAGGCAGCATCTGGAAGTGCATGATATTATTGCACCAAAACAAAAAATAAATAAATCTGCAGTTGAAAATAATTATATTTCTCATTCAATAGAGGAACAACAAGAGCGTGATGATGCTATAACAAAATGGATATTATGTGATTTACAGTTATTGAATGCAAAGAATGGCGGGATATGATAAAAAAATTTGATCCACATTATCAATTCCATAATCGTCACATGGAAAAGGATTGTGTTGTAACTCTATTTGAAAATAAAAGATAGCAAGTAAAATTAGTACTCTCCCAAATTCCTGGAAAAGTGTCTTTCACCTCTGATATGTGGACTGCATCCAATAGTGCTGCGTTTCTTAGTCTAACAATCCATTTTATTAATTCTTTTTAGAAACTAAATATTTTTCTCTTAGATATTATTCCAATAAAAGTGCGTCATATGGGCTTCAATATGGCTAATATAATAATGAACGTCCTTAGTGAATTTGGTTTAGAAAAAAAACCTTAGCCCTCACTACTGACAATGCTTCAGCAATGATTGTATGTGGTGAACTTATAATGGAAGAACTTGAGGAAGAATTTGATAATCTTGAATTTTCACATTATAGATACATTGCTCATGTTTTAAATCTTGTAGTTAGGCAGGAGTTTAAGCATATAGATAAATCAATTTCAAAAGTTAGAACATTAATGTCATATATTAAAAATTCAAATCTAACAAAAAATGCTTTAAAAGATTTTTGTAATATAAAATGCATTCCATACCTGGTGCCCGAAATTGATACGAAGACACAGTGGGATTCCACCTACTATATGCTAATAAAGTGAAAAAAATTGGAGTCAGTATTAAATTTGCTTATAGTCGACGATCAAATAGTAAAAGAAAAGTATTTAAACATGGAAGATATTAATAATATTAATGTAAATATATTTTTTTATTTTATTAAAAAAAAAATATATTAATTTATATATATATGCTTTTTTTTTCTTTTTAAAAAGGATACAAT